GTATAATACTAGTAAATAACTATTTAAGACTGATGTTTTAATTTAGATGAAAGGCTAATTTCATATAATACTTTTTTATTATTATAATTTATATAAAAAGGCTAACATGACTGAAGGAGTATAAGAGTAATAACTACATATTTGATCATATTATAATTTATATAAATTGCTTAACATGGCGTGCATCGTTCGCCCGACTTTCGCTAAAGCTTTTTTTGGTGGTCGTGTGCTTAATGCATGATATAATTAAAGAAAATAAGAGTAGACAATCTCCTATAACAAAAGAATATATTAAGTACTAAATTACAATTTAAATTACATTGCAGAGATCAACGCAGAGCTCGGAACACAGTTCATGCTACCGTCGCGTACAGTTGTCTGACGAGAAGTCTGAGTGAGTAATGATGTCGCTTTGCTGCTCCGATTAAGAACTGGATTTTACACGTGGCGCCATCTCATGAATAGAAGTTGAAGTATCTGTCGGAACGCCACAGTACCCCTCCCCCCCAAGTACCATCGGTACGTTATAAGTACTTTGGGTTAAATTTAACCTTTCTTCCAGATCTGGTAGTTTTAGGTTGCTCTTTAACGGGATGTAAGCTTTCTTTCTTCCGGGAGTGATGTTGATGAGGAAGTTGTTGGATCTTGCATTAGAAATGCTGGTTTGAGACGATCGATTCCAATCACTGATTGTTTGCCATTGCAGATGATGGTGAAATGTTTCGGTGTTCGTTTGACAACTTTGAATGGACCATCATATGAAGGTGTTAAAGTTGGCTTAATTGCATCGTTGCGCACGAATACGTGCGAAGATGTCTCAAGCGCAGGATGTACAAAATAGCTTGGCTGGTTATGCGAAGATGCTGGGGTTGGCGAGATATTGCTCATGGTCTCACGTAAACGTTGAAGGAATGTTGGAGGGTCGATAACTGGAGTAGATTCTGGGTGAAAGAATTCACCTGGCAGACGGAGGGTTGCACCATATAACATTTCAGCACAAGTGCTACCAATGTCTTCTTTGAATGCTGTGCGAAGACCAAGCAAGACTAGGGGTAAGGCTTCTGTCCAGTGTGTGCTACTGTGGCACTTCAGACCTTGTTTGAGAGATCGGTGAAAGCGTTCCACCATCCCATTTCCAGATGGATGGTATGGTGTTGTGCGAATATGGCGAATGCCAAGAAGAGAGGTGAGGGATGCGAACAAGTGACATTGAAATTGTCGGCCTTGGTCAGTAGTGATGGTGGTAGGCATGCCAAATCTTGAAAGCCACTGGGAGATGAATGCTCGAGCTACAGTTTCAGCGGATATATTTTCAATAGGAATGGCTTCAGGCCATCTTGTGTACCGATCAATACAAGTGAGGAGGTAAGTGTAACCATTTGAAGGAGGCAATGGGCCAACCAAGTCTAAGTGCACATGATCAAAGCGTCTTGCTGGAAGGTTAAATTGTTGAATGGGGCTGTGAGTGTGACGGGATACTTTACACCGTTGACATCTAATACATGAACGAGTCCATTCTGTGATGTCTTGATTCATTGCTGGCCAGACAAATCTGTCTGCGATCAGCTTTTTGGTGGCACGGATTCCAGGATGTGCCAAATTGTGCAAGGCATTTAAACACTTCACGTCTAAAATTGACAGGAATATAGGGACGTATTCTATTGTTCTCTATGTCACAGTAAATTTTAAGCGTTGGATCAATGTGCAGCGGTTGTAACTGAAGGGAGGTTTGTGGATTTGAGATTAGGTTCTTGAGTTCCTCATCATGCAATTGAGCTTTTGCAATTTCAGAGAAATCTGGGGTAGTGAGGTTGATATTGTTTACCCGAGACAAGGCATCAGCGACACAATTATCAGTACCAGAGACATATCTGATATCTGTACTAAACTGGGCGATGAAATCCAGATGTCGAAGCTGACGAGGAGAACATGAGTCAGAGTTTTTTCTAAAAGCGAAGGTTAATGGTCGATGATCGGTGAAAATGATGAAGTCGTGTCCTTCCAAGTTGTGCCGGAAGTATTTAACAGCACAGTACACAGCAAGTAGCTCCCTGTCATATGTGCTGTATTTCCTTTCCAGTAGTAAGTTTTCTGGAGAAGAATGCCATTGGGGAAAGTCCTTTAGTGGTATGGGCTTGAAGCACTGCTCCTATGGCCGTGTCAGATGCATCTACCATTATAGAGAGCTGATCACTAGGTGAGTGATAAGAAAGTGTGGCCACAGCAGCAAGTAAAGTATGCTATGCAGTGAAACACCAGCGCAGGGTGAATTTAAACAGCGCAGTTCGAGGAGATAGTAAATTTTTTACTTTGAAATAAATCAAAATATTTTATTTCATACATTTCTGGAGCTTTATGAGCAAAAGGATGTTAGTTGGAATTTTGGGGCGAATTATAGAAATCTAGTCCAATTTTTACTTTCAATTTAAACAGCGAGCCGTACGAAGACAAAATTTTAAATGAAATAAATTTCTTTCTTAATTCTTTTTTCTGTAAATTTAAAAGGGGGCAAAACACATGCCATACAAAACGTAATAAATTTTTATGGATCCATAGTTAAAAATTTTACAGTGAAATTTTAAAAGCAAAATTTGCAATAACTATGAAACAGAAAAAAATATTTAAAGACAATTAAAGGCACCCCTAAATAAATTGAAAACACTGAAATACATTATAATTATGACAACAACTTTAAAAACAAATTACCATGAAAACTAGACAATTATTTGGAATGACCATTGTCAAGAGCAAAGTTTTCACCCAATGCCAAAACCATTTCACTTACGCATTACATTTAAAAAGTCTTTAAAGAATTTCACATGCTAAAACCAAGCTGATACAACAACAAAGACGTTTTCGAACAACATGCTATATGCTGAGATGCTGCTTTGTTGCTGATTCGCACATGCGCTGATACGGAGGTGGATAGCTGGATGGTTTGCCCCTTTGAGCTTCAGAGAAATGACGGAGCCACATTTGCTCTTTAGAGAGTGTGGCTGCATTTGCCAGATCGTGTTTGCATTGCACGAATGCTGCAGATGCAGATTCAGTCCAAGGGACAGCTCGTTGATCGTTTTTTTTTTTTTTGCTATTCTTCAGAAACTCATGTAGGCAGGCTTGTGTTTTTGCGGCATTTGGCAGAAAGCGTCGGTAGAAATTTAACATTGCTAGAAAACGCTTCAGTTCAGAGATGGTTTTTGGGCTGAGGTAGGTCGTTAATTGCTTTGACTCTTTCCGGTAAAGGTTTGACTCCATTCTGGGTGATAAGACATCCAAGAAAGGAAACTGAGGGTTGACCAAGTACACATTTGGATGGATTTCGTTTTAATCCATGATCTTTAAGGCGAGTGAAAATCTGACGCAGATGTTGAAAATGTTCTTCCACATCTGTAGATGCAACCAGGATATCATCAAAATATGGGATGCAGAAATCGAGGCCAGACAGTACTTGGTGTATGAAACGCTGAAATGTTTGGCCAGCATTGCGAAGGCCAAATGGCATATATAAGTACTCAAAGAGACCAAATGGTGTAGTCACTGCGGTCTTCTTCAGCATCTTCAGCACATCTTCAGCATGCACTGGGATCTGATGATATGCTCTGGCAAGATCGAGGGTAGAAAATATATTTGTTCCCTGAAAAAGATGGGTACAGTCTTGGATATGTGGGACTGGATATCTGTCAGGGACTGTGACGGCATTAAGTCGACGATAATCTCCACAAGGCCGCCAGTCACCATTAGACTTTTTAACCATGTGAAGTGGACTGGCCCATGGACTTTTAGATGGGCGAATGGTTCCCTGTGCTAGCATGAATTCAAATTCTTTGCGAGCAGCTTTTAGCATCTCTGGAGAAAGACGACGAGGCTTGGAAAATACAGGTGGGCCATGTGTTTCAATGTGATGATACACTTCTGGCTGATGAGTATGCTGCCCTGATTTGGATGGGTTTAAAATGTCAGGGAATTCTGCTAATAACCGATGAAACCGTGTGCTGCCCGATACAACACTTATGTTGGTAGGTACGTTCGATATGTGAGAAGCTTGGCCCTGTGATGTCAGCTGAGTTGTAGCATCAATTAAGCAATTATTCTTGACATATACTAGAAGGTGGAAATGTGTCAAGAAGTCGACACCAATAATTGGAGTTACATTTGCAATAATAAAAGGCCAGTTGAAAGTCCGGCGCAAGTTTAAATCAAGTGTCAATAGTTTGGTGCCGTAGGTTGCAATTTGGGTACCATTGGCTGCATACAGTACAAGTTTATTAAGTTGGTGAGCATTTGTTTTAGTTCTCGGGAGCACTGATATGTCAGCTCCAGCATCTACTAGAAAACATAACTGAGTTGAATGATCAGCCAGTACTATTCTGTCGATGTGGCGGACATTCTGTTGGCCAGCAGAAGACCGCCCATTTAGTTTCCCGCTTGTTCAAAAGTGCATGGAGGGGCACACTTGCGAGCTTGAGCGCCAAAATTCATATGATAAAAACATATGCCACTTGTGGGTTCTTTGTACTGCGTTCGAGTATTGTGACGAGATCGACTCCTGCTTCGAAGCACGAAATTTATTACGTGGGCCCTGATTCGATCGATTGTATCTCCGTGAAGCATGAAGACTTGTAGAGAGTTCAGATATTTTTTTGGTCAATTCAGCCACTTGTTGTTCGCGCGGTTGCTAGATTTGGCGCTTTTGCGAATAAATTTTCGCTGCAATTTTTTACGGTCCTCAAAACGGAATAGTACCCATATTTTTTATTTTTCAAATACACAGAGGCTATAGAACATTTTCACATTGATCTAAAATGTTTTCATTATTTTTATTATCATCTCTGTTGATCATTTCTAACGATAAACCATTGTAAATTTTAAAAGAGTCTGACAAAACCTGAACCTTTTTGAAAGTTTTATTTTTATTTTTTATTTTTATTAAAGTTTTTGTCAAATTTCTACAATATTTGTAAAAAAACACTTATAATATATTACCTTTATTTTATTCGCAGGAAACTTTCTGAATCATGGCAGATGATTCACCAGGTAAAGTCCAAGCTCTAAGAGCTATCTTTTCAGAAAAGAACAAGCCGTTAATGGGGATGATGCCACCTGGGACGAGGTTATCTAACAGACCGTGGAAACGAACTTCTGAATCTGAAGAGAACCTTGTGACTTTAAAAGAAAAACATTCTAGTGAATCCATATTGCATTCTCGAACGATTGCTAAAGTATTACCATTTCCTGCAAAAAAAGTAGACACAGTTAACGGGGAATCGCACAAGGAAGTCAATGGTTTCAATGACAGAAACTCAAATAAATGCAACTTAAAACCAGTCATTGGCCCTAAGCCTTCTCACTTACTACAACAGGGTAGGACTAATTCATCTCTGAATGTAAATACGGAAGCTTCTGATGTCAATGAGATCGGAGATGTTAACGAAAATGAACGGTGTTTGAATTTAAATAATGGTCAGGAAATGCCGAAATCACAGGCAAAATCGAAAGCATTTGCTGAAACTATTGCCTCTTTCATGTTCACTAATGGTGCTCAGAATAAAGAAGATGACAAAATTTCTCCTGTTGATAATAAAAAAAGTATTCCGCCGATACCAAAGCCTAGGGCTTCTCAAATGCATACAAATATGCAGAACCAAATGGAAGTTATGAATATGTGTAATTCACATAGTGTTATGCTACCAAAAAAGGACATGGGACCTTCTTGTTGTAATTTAATAAACTCTGATAATTATGTATGCAAGAGTAATTGTAAGTTCCGCAGAAAAGAGCTTCCGACGCTTGAGGAGCTTGGGCCTCCTCCACCAAAGCCAGTGAAACCTCATTATTTGAAGTTACCTGCCAAATTTTTAATACAGCCTTTTGCTTCTAACTCTGCTGTTCAGTTCTTGCAATCGACTGAAGATTCAGCTCCTATACTTCCTCAAAGGCCAGCTCCACAAAAGCCTTCTTATCGTAAGTTTCCCTTTTATTTTCGAAGTATTTATTGCATATGAATTTGTTTGTATACATATTCACAACATGTAAGTTAATAATGCGCTTCATAAAATGATTTCTGCAAATGTTTAATTAACTATATTTGCTCACAGCTGGAGGACTATCAGCCAGAGGCCATTTTTTTAGCAGGATGGCATGACACAACATTCGGCATTGTGTGTTCATAGTTTTCTAGACAGAACATTTTCCAACAGATAGATCAAGAGGGAAGGAGGCTAATCTTTGGAATATGGTAACAGGTAGTTTGGCGACATTTTGGTAAGGGGATAAAGGTTACTAACTAGGACTTTAGCAATAATCTGAGAAGTACACAGTTCCAGTCCTTTTTACCGACTTCAAAGATTCACAAAATTTTCCTGCATTTTCGTGCAAATTTTTCTAATTTATGAAAAAAATTATTTGCATCTTTCATATATAAATTTGCCTTGTAAAAACAAATTTCTGTGCACGTTTGTAGCACTACTTTCCAGAAAATTCCGATCGTGATTTTAGCAAATAAGCAATTAGAAACAATTTCGCACCTAATCTTCATCATGATTAAGCACTTTTGTTGCATAAAAGTTCTAGCATAAACGTTATTCGGCTAGCAGATTGTTGGAAAAAATGTTGAGAGGAAAAAAAAAAAAAAAAAAAAAAAAAAAAAAAAAAAAAAAAAAAAAAGCCTTTACTTCGTGAAAACAAAATGGCGTCCAAAAAAAAAACAGGTTGCTGTAGCAGGGTTGGTCGCCAAAAATTCGCCAAGTTACCATAATTCGAAGATTTACTGGGAAGGTATTCATTCCATTGCTCATTGTCTGATATTATCCCTTTGGACTTCTTTTCTGTGGGTGTATGTTATTGTTTACTCAAACATTGCAAAACTGAAGACCAGAATCAGAGATGCAATTGCAACCATTGATCACACCATGTTGCACCACATGTGGACAGAGCTGGAATATCAGCCTGATATTTTGCATAAAACTAGTGGTGTGTATCTCTAGATTGGTCACTTGTGACAAAAACTTTGCACATTGCTTGTGAAAGTGTGCCCAGTACCTATGTTGTTCCATTCCCAAACAATAAGCTGCTAAAGTTGTTCAGCAACTTTGTGGAAACACTGTACACTGTACATGTTTGAGTTATTCGTGGGTTAAAGAAACGACATAGTCCAGGTTAAACAATAAAAAATATATTGGGAATATTGGGTTACATGGGAACAAACAACCACAGCAATGCACACCAGATAGGGACTGAATGACAACAAAAACTACTGTTGCCAATTTTCATAAAGTAAATATTGGGACTGGCACATATACACATATTTTTAACACGCCCCCTTGCCAGTCACACTAGTTGCAAGGTATTTACATACTTCCACAAAAATTAATCACGCTGTGGTTGTACACATTTACAGAAAAACAATATAGCTGCTATTATATGCATAAACACTATCAACCTCTACTTATGAATTACATCATTAAATGAGCACATATTAAGTCATACTAGGAAACACAATGTTTACATGAAAACAATTAAGAAAAATTGTATCTAGGCTTCTTTCTGAAATTTTAAGTCAAGTCTCTACACAGTCACTATCATAATGGTTTATGTTCAGTCATAAACTTCAAAAGAGGTCATTTTTACATGCAAGTCCTGGCATAGTTCATGTCACAGAAAAGTTTTTTCGAGGTCTGCTTAGTTAAGAGATCAGCAAGATTGTCGCTGGATGGCACATGATCAAATATAATCACATTTTCTTTCACTAGGTCTCAGAAAATGAAATTTAATATCGATGTGCTTACTTCTTTCAGAAGTAACATGCTTCTTGGCTAAGAAAATTGCTCCTTGGTTGTCGACTAGCACTTTTTGAGGTGAAGCAGCTAATTCACTACAGATTTCCTTGATCAAATTTTTAATCCATAGGATTTCCTTGACAGCGTGACACATTGCCACATACTCCGCTTCGGTGTCCGCCGATAACATCGCGGACGAAAACGTCGCAGAGAAAACAACGCAAGGCGAAAACATCGTGGGAGAAATCATCGCAAAGAGAAAACATCGCAGTCCTAAAACATCGTGGTACAAAACATCGTCGTCGAAAATAAAGCGGTTCAAAAACTTCGCAGTTTAAAAACATCGTCGTCGAAAATATCGTGGTAAAAAATAAAGTATCTACAAATCATCGCATGACGATAACATCGCAGACATGCTTTTTCATACATGCTTTAATAACTGTAAATGAATATTCCCATAAAGATTTGTGAGCGCAAAATGTAAAGAAGGATAATTTTTACTTTCACATTTTTATTAACTAATAAATTTTTTCTGAAAAAGTAAGAAGGAAACTTAAGCATAAGAAATTAAATGCAACTTATGGATTATACTTTTCACGAAAAATTACCAGTAAAAACTTTATAAAAAATGATTTATTAATGGCCTTTGTTAGTTAACTATGTCGGTTTAAAATTCTATTAATTGCTATAAGTTGCATTAATTTGCTATGCTTAAGTTTCCTTCTTACTTTTTCAGAAGAAATTTATTAGTTAATAAAAAAATGTGAAAGTAAAAATTATCCTTCTTTCCATTTTGCGCTCACAAATCATTATGGGAATATCCATTTACAGTTATTAACGCATGTTTGCGAAAAGCATGTATGAAAAAAGCATGTCTGCGATGTTATCGCCAAGCGATGATTTGTAGATAGTTTATTTTTTACCACGATATTTTGGACGACGATGTTTTTAAATTGCGAAGTTTTTGAACCGCTTTATTTTCGACGACGATGTTTTGTACCACGATGTTTTAGAACTGCGATGTTTTCTCTTTGCGATGTTTTCTCCCACGATGTTTTGTAGCACGACGTTTTCGCCTTGCGTTGTTTTCTCCGCGACGTTTTCGTCCGCGATGTTTTTGCCGCGATGTTTTTGGCTGTAACCCTGCTTCTATCGACGATAATGCTGTTGTGGATTGCTTCTTGCTCGACCATGAGATTGGAGCACCTGCGAGTAGCATTATATAACCACTGTAAGATTTACGGTCAGTTCTGTCACCTCCCCAGTCAGCATCTGAGTAGACTTGAAGTGGCTCACCTGTCTTCTGGAATCTCAACTTTCTGTGTTGTGTTCCGTTTAGGTATCTTAGAATGTGCTTCACACCTCTCCAGTGTTCTTCAGTGTGTTTTCATTAAATTGGCTCATGTAGGTGGAAGAATAAGCCATGTCTGAACGAGTACCGCAGGTCAGATAAAGGAAACTTCCTATAGCTTGTCTGTAAGGGATTTCCTTGTTGTTTTCTTTGATTTCCTCCCACTGTTGTTCATCTACCTTCTTATATTTTATTCTGGGGTCCAATGGCGTGGATGCACATTTTGCTTCAGTCATTTTAAACGTTTCTAGGATTTCCGATACATAAATGATTTGATCTAGTGTGTATGATCCATTTTCTTCTTTGCATATTTGCATGGATAAGATCTGGCTTGCAGGACCTAGGACTTTGACACTGAACCTTTTCTTAATGCTTCCCTTGAATTCATTTATTTCTGGCATTTTTCCAACTATCATGAGGTCATCAACATAAACTCCAATTATGATGTTCTTCTCGTGACAAAAATAAATACTAGGTTCTGCACTTGATCTTTTCAATCCATACTGGATCAGGAAGTCGTTCAAGCAAGTATTCCTTGCACGTCCTGATTGTTGAAGACCATAAATGCTTTTCTTCAGGTGGCAGACAAGATGTTCTTTCCCTTTCTCAATGCAGCCTTCTGGCTGTGCCATATATATGTCCTCTTTTAGGATTCCATTAAGGTATGCAGGTGTCACATCCATTTGGTGAACCTCTAGGTTTTTCTCTGCAGCTACGGCAAGCAGTAACCTTATAGATTTAAGTCTGATGACTGGTGAAAAGGTGTCTTGAAATTCCACTCCGGGTATTTGCAAATAGCCTTTTGCCACCAATCTGGCTTTGAACTTTGCTCGGTTCTCAATCTCGACTTTTTTTCTTACGAAACAACCATCTGGATGGTATTACTTTAGCTCCTTGTGGTTTCGTAGTTAGTTCTCAGGTTTGAGCCTGAGTGAGGTTTTGAATTTCTTCCTCCATGGCTTTCAACCACATGTCAGCTTCGGGTGATTTCAGGACATCTTTTAGAGTTACTGGATCCTTTTCTTCAGATTGTTGTATCTCTTGGGCATCGTACAGATAAAAATCTTCGAAATGTTTAGGAATTTTGGTTTTTCTTTTTTCACCTCTCTCACTCCCATGGGTAGGGTTTCTGGCTGCTGCCTCGACTTCAGGGTCTAGGTTGTTAGCAACGTCTTGTATCTCTGTAACTGATTGGCCTTCATCTTCGTAATCTGGAGTATTTCCAAGCTGTATGTCTGGGCATCTTTCGAAATTTTGGTCAATAGGATCTGTATTTAGACGTTTGGTTTCATCCAAGTCATTTACTTCAGGAAGTTATGTGATCTAGAGATGAGTCACAAGCTTCTGTTTCAGGCTGTCACAAGCTTCTGTCCAAGGGATATTCTGATTCAAAGTCTTCAATTTTAAGAGTAGCTTCTTCTGCAGGATTGTCACACTTGCTTAGTTTTAAGGGGAAAACATTTTCTTCAAAAATGACATCTCTGCTGACAAAAAAAATGTTTCTTCTTCATGTCATACAATTTGTAGCCTTTAACGCTTTTAGGATATCCCACAAAAACACATTCTGTAGCTTTGGGATCAAGTTTGCTTCCTCTTGAGTGTGAGTGAACATGACTCCAGGCTCTGCATCCAAAAACTCTGAGGTGGTCTGTTTTGCTTCCAGACCCTGCCCATCTTTCTTCTGGAATATCGCCATCAATTGCCATAGATGGGCGCTTGTTGTGGAGATAGGCTGCAGTGGCCATTGCTTCAGCCCAAAACCTGTGATCTGCTCCGGACTTGATAAGTAAACATCTTGTCGTGTTTATCAATGTTTGGTTCAGTCTTTCTGCCAA